GTGGGCGAAACGCGGCAGCCGATCGCGCGCAGCAGCGTCCCCCACAAACAGCCGCGGGTGGGGTGGCCAATTATTTTTTTTTTTGAAGGAATTATTACTGCCGGAGAAGTGATCCGTCAATCGACTAACAACCGGGTTCCTACTGACCGCTAGTAAACAGAGGCGCTCGTGTGTGTGTGGGGAGTGAGGAAACTTGCCCGATGTCTCGCCCTGACCTGCCCGGGAATTGAACCCGGGTCCTCTCGCTCGCGAGGCGAGGGCTCTGACCCCTGAGCTGCAGGACTTCCCAATAAAAGTAAATCGATAAATGATTTCCCATTGTTTTAAAGCACTCCCGCCTCTCTACTTTAATACTAATGATAATAATAATACTTGCATTTGATGCAGCACCTTATCGCGTAGTTGAGACGTCTCAAAGCGCCTCACAGAATATACTGTAAAGTGGAGTGACTGTATACTTTGTGGGTAAAACACACACAAAATGCACAGCTTTTATTCAGCAACGGAAGAAACGCAACAATTTCATGCAGTAAACACACACATATACACACTCAGAGTCGTTTCTTTTTGTAAAACTCACCAAACAAAACCCTAACACCGTTCCCACAAACTACTATATTATACAATATTCCAATGTATGGAATATTTCTAAATGCTCAGACAAACTACGCATTTAATAAAGCAATTCCCTGCTCACTGGAGACTAAAGGCGACTGAAACGAGGAGAGAGATATTCAACGCAAGCTTGTATTTTTTAAAAGATAAATCCGCTTTGCAGCTGATGTGTGTGTGTGTGTGTGTGTGTGTGTCTGTGTGTGTGTTTGTGTGACCCTTCAGATCAGAGGAGAAATCCTAACAAAATAAATCAGAGCAACGAAGGGATGGGGGCAGGCGGGGGCGAGGGAAGAGAATGCTGGTGGGAGGAAGGAAAGACGTGAGACAAATATGAGCCGAGGGTCATAACGTAACATAAAATAACCCCTCAAAATAGAGTGTTTCTCCCACAAAATATACGGTCAACCCACTTTACAGTCTATCCCGTAAAGCACGTTGAGACGTCTCGATGACGTGATAAGGTGTTGTGTCAAACACAAGGATTATTATGATTATTCCAAGGAGCTCTGATAAATACAAGTATTATCATTATTATTACTACTGCAAGGCACTGTAGCATCAAACACAAGGGTTATTATCATCACTAATATTATTACAAGGAGCTCTATCAACACAGGGATTGATCCTCTGCTTTCCTGGACACCCACAGGTCATCTGTCAGCACTGTTTACCTGAGATATCCCGATGGGAACTGCATCGATATGTAACCCCCCCCCCCCACCCCCACACACACACACCACACACACAGACACACACACACACACCCACACACACACAGACACCACACACACAGACACACACACACACACACCCACACACACCCACACACCCCCACACACACACACACCACACACACACCCCACACACACACCCACACCCACACACACACACAGACACCACACACACCACACACACACCCACACACACAGACACCCACACACACACTAACACACACACAGACACACACACCCACACACACACACCCCCACACATACCCCTCCCACACACACACACACACACACACCCCCCCACACCCCCCCCACACACACAGACACCACATACACAGACACACACACACCCACACACACACACAGACACACACACAGACACACAGACACCACACACCCCCCCCACACCCACCCACACACACACACACACACACACAGACACACAGACACACACACCACACCCCACCGCCACACACACACACACACACACACACACACAGACACACAGACACCACACACACAGACACCACACACACACACACACACACAGACACACAGACACCACACACACACACACACACAGACACAGACACCACACACACACACACACACACCCACACACACACAGACAACCACACACACAGACACCACACACACAGACACACACACCCCACACACACACACCCCCCACACATACCCCCCCTCCCACACACACACACACACCACACACACCCCCCCCACCCCCCCCCCACACACACAGACACCACATACACACAGACACACACACCCACACACACACACAGACACACACACAGACACACACACAGACACCACACACACCCCCCCCCACACACACACAGACACCACACACACACACACCCCACACACACACACCCCACACACACACACACACACACCACACACACACACCCACACACACACCCCCCACACACACACAGACACCACACACACAGACACCACACACACCCCCCCCCCACACACCACACACACACAACACCCACACACCCCCACACACACCCCCCACACAGACACCACACACACAGACACACACACACACCCCACACAACACCCACACCCACCACACCCCCCCCACACACACACACCCACACACACACCCCCCCACACACACACAAGACAACACACACCCAC